GAATAGGAGCCCTTAATTGCAATAACTAAACCCTAAGGCTACAACATTTTTCATAACAGTTTGGGAACTTTAGGATTTGCTATCTGGGGTGTGCTCTTTTCCTGACTCCATACAGGAACAAAAAGAAACTCTTCTTATTTATGTCATTCGTATTTAATTAGCTGGAAAAAAGCAAGTATGTATACATAATTCCTAGCTTTGGAACTAAGGACACATAAAGTAATGAAAGGATTTATAAAATGATAGGAGGATCTTCTCAAATTTGAGAGAAACAAGTGGTGGATATGTAACTATTTGGTTCTTCGACCTTCAGAAGGCTTGCAAGCTTTTTCAAATTTAAAATATGAGAACTTAATCATATTCACTTTCTAAATTTAAAGACCCTAGGATCGGTCAAACATTTCTCATTTTTCCGGGGAACATCCAACATAAAATGATAAAACAGAACTTCCAGGCTTCAGGTGGTCCTTGAGACCTAATTGAATCCAAGATTTTTCACTAGATCAATGCCAAACTTGCCCAAAGTTGAAATAAAGGTCCGAAAGTCAACTTCAGAGAAAAGATTATGTTATGAGAAAATATCCATAGTGAAGAACTTTGATTATATAATTTTATATCAACCATCAAGACTGAATGCGAAAGGATTAAAGATCTACATAAATTAATTCTTACTTGCAAAGTTCATATTCATATCAACAATTGACAATGGTAGATTATAAGCACAAACCTCTTTTTCCCCGAGGTGATGGACTAACACTTGGATCTTTCCACCAAGAACGCTCTATGATAGATGAAGACTGCAAAATGAACCTCCTCTGGTAGTTTGCTTCAGGCGTAGAACACACTTCCAACTGCTCATCTGAAGGCCTATCATTTGGTTTATCGACAGTCACACCCGTCACTTCCATTGAACTTTCCTCCTTATCTTTTGCCCCATTTGACAAACCATTGTTCAAACCCTCTTGTGGATGATGAATTTTATGAATTGATTCCTCATATCCATAAGTTTGGTCTAATCTCGCCCTATCTTCTGAATTTTTTGGCATATTCTCCTTCCTATTACTCTCCATATCATCGGATACGTTCTAGTGTAATATAGATTCCTAACAAGCAGCCAAAATACTCAAATTCAACTTAAACCCTTACATAGAACTCACCCCAACTATATATAGATCAAAATTCAGCAGAAAAAGAGCACAGCAAGAAAGAGAAAAGGCACACCCAGATTTTCCGACCAAGGTTGATAACAAAATCTTGAATCCGGCAAAAACTTAGGCTGCAAATGCGAAGAACACAAGAAAATCATGCTAGATGCATATGGATAAAAGCAATTGAAAAACTTAAAAAAAAAGTTTCAACTTTACAAACCAACCAATACCAAAAACACCTAAGCACCCAACAATCAATTCCACACACACTGTTTGGTATACAGTTTAACCCAGTTCAAGAAACTTAATCAGGTCCACACTTGATAAACGAGATAGATTATAGATACAGGAAATATGTGTAGGCGCAAATCAATTACAAACATAATAAGACTCGATTTGTAAAGGTTGGCTAAAACCAATAAAGAATTGAGCTTTTGCAAAGAAAATTCAAGAAAAGTACATTAATTATGCTGAACACAAACTTGCTAGATTTTTTCCGAAGAAATTATGTATTTAAAATATTCCCAACTACGACAATTGTACAACTCAGAATCGGATAGGTTAAAGTTAAAATTATAGTAGACAAGTAAATAATCACTCATTTTCATTAACTAATAAGTTTATTAAAAATGAAACGCAAACGAAGGAGGGTGAATTTCCATTTTCCAAAGCAAACCTTTTCTGACTGTTGCACAGAATGAACTTAAGGCCTTTTTTTAAATTATATCTTCTGCAAATGATAATATATTTTATATAAATAATAGGTTCATGGCATTTAAAA